TAAGGATGACTTGTATGGTCACTTAAACAGAACATGGGAATAGGAACGCCCCCCCCCCACCTGAAAATAGGTGACCCTGCGATAAAATTAAGTAACGGTACAAATTTCCGTGTCTTAACCTTAGACTAAAACCGAACCGTAACCTTAATCCTATTCCTTGCCCTATCTAAAACCTCAGCTCTACAGTTAATACAAACCCTAACCCTGACGCTAACCCAAAATCTGACCTTAACTCCAATCTAAGTCTTAACCCTGAACCTAACTTTACTTCTAAATCTAATTTCTCCGGATTTTAGTGCGAGGTTACCTGTATTCTGGGTTTGTCCGGTTCCTGTACACATTATCCTCACCTCCATTGCCCTTGCAAAGGCACATATTGAAGGACATCTTAGGTGGGGTGGTCGCTACCAGCTTTTCAAAGACTGTACGTAATTACCACTTGAATAGTTCATTACGCCTTTCTCCTCTGACTGCCAAAATAATTAAATAGATGTGATTTCCACTCTCATTTTTAATTCAGATGAACTCCTTATGAGGCGTGTGCGGACAACGGCTAAAATAATTTTCTACATTCGTTTGAGCGATGTTTTAGTCGAGTTTTCGCGTGTGTGGCCTGCGTATGGCCAACTGGGCATAGTACCACGTGATGCATGTCGTTATTTGTGCTAAAACGCATGACTATAGCTGTGTGAATTCTGGCTGATGTCTGTGAAACCTATGTAGGCTGTGGGGTCAGAGATATGTCGGAACATGTGGACATCGGCTAGCATCCGGAGAACATAAACGAACATATTTCAGGTTTACGTACAAACCTCGGCGGGTCCGATAAAAAGCCACGTACCGGCAACTGTTCGGTTCGTGGCCTTCGTGCGTTCGCGGATTGTCTAGAGCCCGCAAATCACGCCACTTGCACTTACGAAACAGGCGCCAGAATTATTTCCTCGACTCGTGCGCTCCGGTCTGAGGAGAACGCTTAAAATCCTTACAGTTACCTAAAACATCCATGCTTTGCTAACTCGATAATTCTGCTGCATGCAAATCAGGTATATTTATTTTGTTTAAGTTCATGAATTCGTCAGAAGACAGCGTAGTCGACACCTTGAGTTCGATGACTTAAAAATGAAAATATGTAAAGGCTTTTATAAGCCTCTCTCACAGGACACAACTAGAAACACAACCGTTGATATGGCATACTTTAACATCCACTATGGACGCTTAAAAGGCGACCGACCGCAGTACTGGGAACTAGGTGCTTGAAATGCCTACTGGCCCAATCCAACACGGTAGAATCACGGAAAATTAGAACCGGATAAAACGCAGGGGCAGTCTGTTGCATTGTATCGTATTCCAGGTCTAAGGTGTCCTTGTAATTCCACGGGTCACATTGAACGTATGTTGAGATCGCGAATATAAGAGCATAAGCTGGCTGTGCAAACTGGTGACGAACTGAGGAAAGTAGCGTGCCACATCTTCCAATCGGGTTACAAAATCAAAAACTGCTCATGACGGAAGAAAGACAAGGGAAGAGTCAATTGAAGCCTGGACAGCTGATGAGACCTCAGTCGAGCGATTTATTGAACTGGCAACCTGCACAGTTACCTCCA